GAGACATTTTAATACCTAAATGTAAAAAAAAATAATACAAAGAAAACCCAGTACGCATGACATTTACCAACAGGAACTGTGATTAGTTTGTCAGATGACACCCATCAGAAGTGGGTTTATATGCATACTAGTGCATCACACACATTACATCCCTGAAACCAAAGACACATCATGCATAACACATTACCGGTTTTATCCCAGTTATGTCCATTCAGATGGCTCTGACACCATTCCACCAGATGTTAGCGTCCCCGGCCTAGCCAAGGGGCTGCTTGACTCGGCAGCCATCTGTCCACAGACAGATGCGGTGCTGAAGTCGCCGATTCTCCATCGCTGTGAAGCCTCATTCAGTGTTCAATAAACCCAAAAGCTGCTGGGCATAAAGTTCAGTTCTGCATGTAAACGAGTCTTTGGCTCTTCTGCACAATTATGTTTAATGAACGCTTAAAGTTTTAGGTTCATCAGTTGTTGTTCTTTTCAACCATCGTGCCAGCCTGAGAATTTCTCCCACGCTCCTGGCCCTACACCACTGTTATCCAACCTTTGAACTCGAGTGCAGTCGTCCTAAGTGTTTCAGTTGTTTTACTGATCTCAAACACCTGATTTAGGGTTTAAATGGCCTCTTCATTATGTCAAGTTCTGCAGAAGCCTTCTAATCACTCAATGTTTTAATTTAGGTGTTTCAAAGCAGGAACATTTCTAAAACGTAAGTAAAAGTATTCGGACTTGGACTGGAAGCTGTGGTGTAGGTTATGAGAAGAGTTGCTGGCAGAGCCCTGTGCTAGAATATTTTTCTTTTAAATCCAGCTCCCACCCATTGTTATTGAATTTCTGACCATTACCGCCCATGCCCGCAGTCTCTTTCTGTTACTCCCTCAACATTTGCACCAGCAGACCCACCGGTTAATGAGAAAAAGATGTGCTTCATGGTCAAAAATATTTACATGTACCGTTTTATTTTGGAAGAACAATACTAAAATAAAAAATAAGATCCTAAACAAAAACTGAAGAGGTTCTTTTCCGAAACACAGTTGTGATTTTTTTTATCTTGTCAACAAACTTGGCACTCGCTGTTGATTTTTTTATTTACCTACTTCTGCCTGCAGCAGCCTTACAACCGCCTGCTCCCTTGAGATTTGTGTTGGGTGTTGCATGAGCCACGGGTTCCCAGTCCCAATGCAGAGCTACCACATTCACCCTTGATCTCACCACCCCTAAGCCCCACATGAAAAGATCAAACCATGCTTGTACGACGCCCACGATGCCCATGGCACAATGAGGCCTCACCTTAGTCCAGAGTGACCAAATTCTAATGATCAAGCTTCATTCTCCAGTCAGGACCATACATCTGTCTCACACTCTGTGTTCTTGATATCTGCCTACGATCCCACCAAAACCCTTGCAAGACCCTTGACATTGTCACACCGTAGTGAGATATTAATCCTCTCATCTTTCTTGACGGTACTTGCCAAGTGCTATTTGACTTGTCAGTCAGCTTCAATACTGAGAAAAAAAAATGGTTTACAAGAGTTAGCATTATTTTATGTATTTGTCTTTTATATCGATATTAGTCCCATTTTGTGATGAATAAAACCTTTTAAAATTGTATCTGACTAACTGACGGTTTTATGTACGGATGTGTATTGGTGAAATTCTGACGATACGATTTGTATCCCAATATAGGGGAGATGATGCAATATATCACGATGTATTGCAATACATTCAGTCAGATGTTATTAGCGATTTTGTTTGACTGAATTTACTGTAGGAATATTTAATAAACAGTCCAAACTGATACTTAACATGTTAAACATGAGGTTTCTGAACCATAACAGAGGGATTTATATTTCATTGGTGGAAACGAAACCCATTGCACACTGCTGCCAACTAGCGGTCAGCATTTAAATTGCACCAAAGGAAAAGAAAATACACAAATGTTTGCATGTAAATTCTTCCAAAAATTAAACACATGGCTTTTGAATGTTGATGTGATATCACAGGAAAAAATATCACAATATATTGCCATATTGATATTTTTGATACGCAGCTTTCAAATATCGATATAGGATCGCTGGAAAAAAACATCACTGTATATTTCCATATAAATATTTTCTTAAGTTCCTAGTTGTATGTGTACTTTTAGGTAATAGTTTTAAACTCTGCAGTAGCAAAAGAATATTTGTGGGAAACTTAACATTCTAGGCCTGCCAAGGAAATCGGGTTTCTAACGTTTGCAATGACTTGATGAAACTGTTTCCATTTACAAATAAATGTAGTGAAAACTTATACACAGAGTTGATTTCTTTTCATTTTTTTACTGTGTGGTTTGGTGACAGCTAAGAGACTTGCTGCCTTTTTCATCACACTGGGCTGAAATTGATTTCTCGAGGCCCACAGTGTTTGTCTGACTGACGTGTCTGAGAGTTTTCTTTAGAAAGTAGGAAAGTTTGCGGATGGAGTAAGGCCAGACTGTGCATGCTCAGAATGCAAACCACGCTGACTGACAGATGTAGATGGAGAAACATACATATTGTTGTAGAGGGAGGTAGAAGAATCTGGAAATAGAGACACACTCAGAACTCAGCTTTGGTAGTATAGACAGGAACTTGCCATCTCACCAAACCGCTGTTATAGCAGTTACTTTACACTTGAACTCTGAGACCTAGAGGAAAAGCAATAAAAAGTTTATCCTTTGCATTTTTTATTCATTTGGGCCAATGAGGGTCAGAAACTAATGTAAGGTAACAATCTGAAACTATTATTATTTTAAGAAAATAATATTAGTCAATATTACATCCCTTCTTTTTTCTTTGATAAGTAATATAGTGAAATCCATCCGTTCATTTTCTTCTGCTTATCTGGAGTCGAGTCATGGGGGCAACAGCCTAAGTGGAGAGGCCCAGACTTCCCTCTCCTTAGGCATTTGGGCCAGCTCTTCTGGGGGAATCCCAAGGCGTTGGCCAGTCGTGAGACATGGTCTCGCCAACGATTCCTGGGTCTCCCTTTAAGTCTCCTCCCAGTTGGACGTGCCCAGAAAACCTCAGCAGGGAGGCGTCCTGGAGGCATCCTGACCACATGCCCAAGCCATCTCAACTGGTTCCTCTCGATGTGGAGGAGCAGCAGGTCTACTCCGAGCTCCTCCCGGATGACCGAGCTTTTCACCCTATCTCTAAGGGGAGCCCAGCCACTTTGCAGAGAAAGTAATAGTAATATTTATTTATTTATTTATTTTAATTTATTTATATGTAACCTTTATTTAATTAGGAATTTCCTTGAGATAAAATCATTTTTTTCAAGGGAGACATTGGTTGGTTGGTTGGTTGGTTGGATGGATGGATGGATGGATGGATGGATGGATGGATTGATAGGTTGGTTGTAAATGCCTTTGTAGTCCTCTGACTGAGAGGTGCTATACAAGTGTGGGTCATTTGTCATTTATTTGGTTGGTTGGTTGTTGGTTGGATGGATGGATGGATGGATGGATGGATGGATAGGTTGGTTGTAAATGCCTTTGGAGTCCTCTGACTGAGAGGTGCTATACAAGTGTGGGTCATTTGTCATTTATTTGGTTGGTTGGTTGGTTGTTGGTTGGCTCTCCTAGTTGAGTTCAGTGTTTGATTCATTAAGTATACTGCGGTAGCTTAGGAGGTGGTGCGAGTTATCCAGTAATCAAACAATTGCAGGTTCGTTCCTGGCGCTGACCAGAGAATGCTGCTGTTGTGTACTTGGGCAAGACACTTAACCCGCCTTGCCAGCTGCTGGTGGTGGTTGGAGGAACTGGTAGTGCAAGTGCTCAGCAGGCCTCACCTCTGGCCCAGGGCAGCTGCATCTACATTGTAGCTCATCTCCACCAGCGTGTGAATGGGTGAAAGACTGATGGTGTTGTGAAGCGCCTTGGGGGCTAGTAGAACCCTCAGAGGGTGCTATACAAATACAGGCCCTTTACTATATAGCAGTGTTGGTCAGTTATTTTCTGTGATGCCTCCCTAGGATAGGGGCTCAAGGCGACGGCCCCCACCGCCTCCTTCCCCTCCCTCGTACCCCTAATTGAGAAGCACTGACATACAGGGACTAAAATGAGCTTTTTCGTCTGGTTCACCTGACAGTCTAAGGGTGAAACAAGAAAACACACAACAACAAAATCTGTAAACATATCTCATACTTTGAGTTTGCATATCTGAATTTGAAATTAAACGGACACAGTGAAAAAACAACAACAAATAATGAGTTTTCTGTAACAATATAGAGAAATAATTAATTTGCTTTGTTTATGTCAATTAAATGAACTTATATTCAGATACATCAGCATTATTTATTGAGAATTTAAATAATAAATAATAGAACTAGCCAAGAAAATGGTGTCCTTTTTCCCTGGTCCACAATTAAGATAATCATCAGAATACAAATTCATATTCATGTCATGCTATTTAATAAAAGTGGAAGAATAAAAACGGAGAATCCCTATGGAGCTTCTGTTCAAAACAAGTGAATTAAAATACAATAATAAATACCCTAAGATAATTACACAGGAAACAAAGAGATGTAAAGCAGAAGCAAGAAGCGATAAACAAAAGTTGAAAGAGTAAAGGACAAACACAGGAAGAGAGACTCAGGAGCTGAGGCGAGGAGGAAAAAACCAAGCCTGCAGGCAGATTAGTTCGAGTGCAGCATGAGAACAAGGTTTCAGTGGGACAGATGAGCCATTTATGGATCAGTTTCAACAAAAGGCCAACTCAGTCAGCTGTAGAGAGATGAAAACCCAGAGACAATTAACCTCTGCTGCACCTAAAGCCTAAAAGTCTGCTTCAGCAACTCCCTCGACCTCAAGTCTATTAAAAGGCTAATCCAATTTTGTTTTTGAGTTTTGTACTAAAGTCTGAAGATTAAAACATACACAAGAATTCTTAACGTTTTGATTCAAGTAATGCATGAGATTTTTATTGATGTGCATGTAAAAAAATATTTTAGAGCCTCTTCTTTTCTTTTTCATTTGCTTCCAGAGAACGGTTCCCACCGGCCAGACCAGCCTGGTCCTGCAGCCTCTCCTGTCGGATACGGAGTACAAAGTCGCCATCACACCTGTTTATTCCGAGGGAGACGGACCAGTCGTTTCACAAAAGGGACGAACACGTACGTCAGAATTCCTACTCTGCAGCCTTTAAATTCATTCCGAGTCGTTTTAACACAATACTACACTTTTAAATGCATCCCATAGGGCAAGGAACTGAAAGCATCACCTGCATCTGCAGCTTTTCCCACATTTGAAGAGTTTAGCTGTCATGTTCTGGGTCAGTCTGACCAGTCCACAAGCATCGTGTTACAGCTGATGGGTGATTTCTGTGAAAAGCATTTTAAAGAACACAGCACGCTCTCTTCAAGAAATAGTCCAAAAAATAAAATAAAACATAGTAAAAGCTAGACTTACTTCCGTTAGGTGGTTCCTAGTTTATTCACGGATCACTTAGACCACAACTAAACATGACTTACCCATCAATGGATTAAGGATGGCTAAAACCTGGTGCTAATCCAATGGGTTAATAGAAGTGTCAGACTTTGAAAGCAGTACTTGGGTTATTTAGCATATCATAAGAGAAAAAAATGGGAATGCATTTTTTAAAATCAGATTTTTACCACTTAATTCATACATTTATAATTGTTAAAATTCCCAACTAAATATTTAGTTGGCAAGCTAAATATTTAATTTTCAGTTAAATATTTATTTAACAAACTAAATATTTTAGTCTGAACTGAATACTTAGTTTGTAAAATAAATTTTAAATTTACTTAATAAACATTTTATTTGGAGCTAAATATTTAGTTAACAAACAAAATATTTAGCTCTAAATCAAATATTTATTTTCCAATGTAAATATTTGGCTCAAAGTTAAATATTTTATTTTCCAAAATAACTATAGATCACAGCAAATTTTTTTTTTAGCTAAACATTTACTTAGCAAATTTTTTATTTATTTTTTTTTTCAAAACATTTTTCAAAACATGGATAGGGCGTTTTTTCCCAGAAGACCAGAAGCCCTCTCAGGCTCAAAATAAGTTTTGATGAAAGGATGAACAACTAAGTCCTTCAGGGGTACTTCTGAGTTAAAAAAGGCTCATGACATACGGATGTATTGTGGAGTAACCAGGTAGGTAGGTTTTGTATATATATATGTATATGTTTATATATATATATCTTTCTTGCTTTAGAAGCTCCAGCATGAGTGAAAGATTTTCTCTGCTACCAAGCGCATTAGCGAACAAACACGACTTTCAGCAAGAGGGAAACTCTAAATTTGAGTCATTTATCTTTCCTCCCCGTCCCATCACGTCTCCCTGAGCGTCGTATTACACACATTAGCAGGCGTTAACGACGTTCGCTGAGTTTTAAATGACGGGTCTCCGACGCTCACTGATGATGAATGGTTCCAGTTAGCAAGTGAGGGATGAGAGGATCACCTGAGGTAAAAATGACAGCGAACACAGTGGGGTGGGGTGGGGGGTTGATTGGGGTGCTTTGGAATGGAGATAGATGACGTGACAAAGGGAGCTGGTGTAATCAGGGGATTTGAACTTGTGAGGCTTGTGAGGGAGGCATGACGAGGAATACAGAGGGGGTGATTGGACATTTTATCCTGAACTGAAGACAGAAATTATGACAGAGACAGATAATCTGAAGCTCTGATCTGCCAAGGAATGAGGTGATTAGTTAGAAAAGTGCTGGGGATGTTTGGATGGGAATGACGCTCGGATAACGAGAAATAAAAAACATGTACGCTATGTGTGGAATTGTGCAACACTTACATTATTACTAATAATCAGAGGTGTGGACTCGAGTCACGTGACTTGGAATTGAGTCAAACTCAAGTAATTATTTTAATGACTTCTGACTTGATTTGATAAAATCTATAAAGACTTATGACTTGACTCTGACTTACATAGGTTGACTTGATGATGACTTGAGCATAGTTGATATTTTAGCACAAAAGTGGCCCGGCATGGACCTAAATCATAAATCGTTCTTCGTTCTGGGTTTGATTTACTGCTGAATGCAGCAGCACTTTGTTTATAATCAGTTTCAGTTGCACTTCCTGCTTGTTTGAGCAAATAAACGAAGCTTTAAGAAGCTTTATGACTGGAATTTATTCATTAGCATTGTCATTGAATTAAAGTTGGACAGATGACTTGATTATTACTTGAAAATTCAAAGTGAAGGACTTGGACTTGACTTGGACTTCCAGATCATTGACTTTGAACTCGACTTGGACTTGACTCAAGACTTGACTGGAAAGACATGTGACTTACTTGTGACTTGCAAAGTAGTGACTTGGTCACACCTATGATGTAGTTCATTTATTGTGTATAAACTAGTAATATCTTAGTTAATTTATTATCTATGAACAAAATAAAACAAACAGAAAAGCCCTCTAGTGGTTGGCTGCAGAATGTTGTTTTTAATTAGTGCCAACTGCTTTAAACCAATGGGGGTCTTGTTTACACGGACTCCCATTGGCTCATAGTAATGAATTTTTTCCTGTATGTTCAGATATTATTGTTTCTTATTGTCACGAGACGGTAGGAGGAGGTCAGACCCAAAATGCAGAAACCCAGAACGACTCGAGGCAGGAGGGGTTGTAAGAAAATAAATTCCTTTTATCAAGGAGGATGAGCAAAATCCAAAAGTACGAAGAACCTGAGAAATTCGAGGAGGACAAAAACAATGCAACAACACAAAAACAACATCAATGGACCGACAACACAGAGACACAGAGAAGGTTATATACACAGGGCTGGGTGATAGGAGACGAGGGGCAGGTGCGTGGGGAATTGGGCAATGAACTGAGGAGAAGCAGAAATAAGCAGGGGAGGAAACCAAAGCTACTGAAATAACCAAACTAACTGAAAACAATAGAAACAAAGACACAGGGTGATCTAAAAAGAAGTAAATAAATGATCTAAGTGGGGAAAGGAACACACACACTAAAGGAGACTGAAGAACTGAAACACTAAACCATAAGGCAGAGGGACTGGAGAACATGTAGGAAACCAGGAGGGAGCTGGGGACAGAAAGGGGCACGGAAGACTAGAGGACACAGAACATGACACTTATACTTGTTTTAGATTTTTATGTTTAAAATATCCAAGATTGAGTGTGGATAAGAATTTTGGGCAAAGCAGAAAAACATGTATTTGTTTAATCTAAAGATGTCGTTGTTCCTCTTTATTTATATCAAAGGTGACTTGACAATTTCTCTAATTCCACCCTTTAATCTGATTAAAATTTAACTGGTTTGTTTACATTAAAAAATCTCAAATTATTAAAAACAATAAACATGAGATTTTCTTTAATTTTATAGAATAAACTCTTCTTTTGTTGACCATCATCACTGTTTGCCGGGCCATACCCCGGCTGACTGAAAAGGTTCAGTTTAATACCATTAAAGGGTGGTTTAACCATTCAGAGTCGGTACTATAAAGGTGTGACAGAGCGGGATTATTTAAACAGTTTTCTCTGGAGACTTGGAACAATGATAACCCAAGCTCGTGTCTCAAATTTAAAGGATTTCCATGGTTTTAATTTAGATCTTTGTTTTAGTTTTGAATCTGAGCTGAGATCTGGCTGATCAATAAAAACAGGGAGGATGAAAAAGGATCTCAATGCTACGTGAAGCAGAACAAAGAAGCTGTGAAGGTGCCCCCCCCCCCCCCCCCCCCCCAAAAAAAAACCTTTGATGTTTCTTTTGTCTAAAAATATTAAACTATGAGGAATTTGCAGACTTATTTGATTTCAGTATAATAAAATGATTATTGTGGATTCCTAATAAGCATTTGAAGTAGTTGAAAGTGTGTAGAAAATATGATCAATGTTGTCCTCTGCCCTGGATAGTTCTGACCTTTTGAAGTGGGTTTTTGTGAAAGGGGATAAAACAATCCACTAGAAAATAGATATTACTAGTTTATACAGTTTCTGAATCTCCATTTACAGAGTTCTGGACATTTTCTGGAAAGGGGAAAAGTGAAAATATGATGATTTAGTCCTCTTAGCCCTTGATTCTTCATACAAAATCAGCCCTTTCAGGTCTTTGCTAAAACTTCTGCATATTACGACTTTTTCAGCGGGGAGTGACGCCACTGATCAGTGCTATAAAGCGTCTACCAACACTAAAAAGATTAAAAGTTGTATTGCATCAAAGTATGTTGTGATTTAATGCGTTCAGGGGACAAGGATTGCGGTTGTGTGACATAAAAAGCGATGTTCAATGACCTGAAGAAGAGCTGTTTTTTTATGGTATGTAGTAGACCACAAACAGTATAATAATGTTCTGCTTCACCAGCAACTCTTGCAATTTCACAAACGCCAGCTTTTTGGTGACTTCTGCTGATGTCATTTCCCACTGAGTTACAACTAGTTAGCATGAGTTACCTACTAGTCCTGCCCAGTGACTACCGACCCATTGCGTCCTGGTGCAGAAACAAAAACCTAGAGCTGAACGAGCAGAAGACAGTGGAGATGACTGTAGACTTCAGGAGAACACCGGCTCCACTGCCCAGCATAACCCTGACAGACAACCAGATTTCAACCGTGAATTCTTTTCGCTTCCTTTGCTCCACCATCACCCATGAGCTCAAGTGGGAGGTGTCCATCCATACCCTCACCAGGAAGGCCCAGCAAAGAACTTTCTTTCTGCGTCAACCGAGGAAGCTCTCTGCATGCCAGCCATGATGATGATCCGCTTCTACAGGTCCATAATTGAATCATTACTCACCTCCTCCATCACTGCGGTACGCAGGAGCCACTGCCCGGGACCAACAAAGGCTGCAACAGGTAGTGCGCTCAGCGGAGACAATAATCGGATGACGCCTTCCATCATGACCTGTACAACTCGGGTTCTGAAACGTGCCGGTCGGATAACAGCTGATCCCTCTCTGGTCATGGACGGTTTGAAGCCTTACCTTCAGGGAGGAGGTTCAGGTCTTTACTGTGCTGCTGTGGCCCCCAGACTCTGGAAGTCTGTCCCCCTGAGCCTGAGATCTGTGGACTCAGTGGTCTCCTTTAAAAAGCAGCTTGAAAACGCACTTGTTCATGCCGGTTTTGGTGTGACCTTTCATCACCCTCTCCTTGTTCTGCTCTCTCTACCTATTCTACCTTCTTCAGGATCTACTGATTTCCCTCTTTCCTATTCACTCTCTCTCTCTTTCTTTACATTTTTAATCACATTGTCAAACTTTTGCTCATTTTTAATATATTTGTAATCATTTTCTAAAAGATTTTTCATATTTTTACATTTTTTTGTTGTTGTGAAGCGCCTCATGATTTTTATCTTGAGAGGTGCTGTAGAGAAGATCTTTTCTTCTTTCTTCTTCTTACAGAATAGAATCTCACGCCACAAAAACAGCTTGTTCCCCTCCGCTGTACGGCTCCTGCCGATGAATCGCCAAAACACACACAAATGCCCCGGTCACCCACACTCCTACGCCTATGATTGCTCACTGGCTATGTTTCTTTTCTGATTATTTGATGTATCCTAATGTAAATACTGCCTGACCTGACTTTGACCTGAATGTATGTTTGGACCTTGCCACTAGTTCAGGTAATCGGTTGGTACCTGAAAATGGTCCAATACATTGGTCCTCTCAGGCCAGCCTTGTGAAATGGAGACATACGCATGCTGTGTAGGTCTGCTAAAATTATCCAGATGTTCCCATAGTGGAAGCAGGCCGAGTCTTGAAAACCCAAAATGTGAAACTTGTTGTCCAGAACCTTAAAATTAGGTCCTGACTTGGAATGGCTTCAAGAGCAATCAAGTAACGCAAGCCTGACCTGTGACTTCTGAGCCAGAACTTAGCCCAACTAATACCAAATCCTCTAAAAGGACTTCAGGAAACGGCTTCTCTGGCCACGACGTTTCGTTGAATCTCCAGTTTCTCATTACAGGTGAGCACCCTGTGGGAGGGAAGGCCGCGAGCGCAGGGGATGATGGGAGTTTCCTCCGCCTCAGGATGGGCTGAGGGGGTAGATGATACAACACAAGAGCAGGTTATAACGTCAGGATTTAAACGTACGAGCCTGCAGCTGAAGCTGATGGGAGTTTTATAGTGCAAAAGAAAAAAAAGTGATTGGTTTTTTTAATGGTGGCCTCCCACCGAGGCTGAAGAGGAGGAACGAGGCAGAAGAGCTGCTATAATTTGAAGGTTTTAGTTTGTGGCTCAGGCAGGGATGATTGGAGGTTTTCAGCTCTTTCAGCGTGCAGCTGAACAGATTTGGTCAGAGATTTAGACCTGAAAAGTTCCTCGTTTTACATTAACCAACGGGATCTGAATCAGTCAGGATGAAACGCACAAAGGCTGGAAATTCATGTGAAAGTAGAAATGTCTTAATAAAAGCAGGAAAAAACCTTTTTTTAGTTGCCATCCCTCTCATAAGACCTCTGGCTTTAATGTCTTTCTAACAAATGAACTATGCTCATAACAGTAAAGGGACTTTCAACTTTTCACTGAGCTAATTTTATTAAGCTTTATCAAACCTCTGTTCTTTTTCCTTTTGCTTTATTATCTTCTTCTATCTGGCCTGGCTTCTCTCGCTCCAGTTCGTCCCCGTACTTTCTCTTCCTGCCATTTAATGACGTTATTAAAGCACTTTCTGGTCATTTCTCTCCACTGAGAAATAGATGACATGAATCATTTTACGAACTGATTTCGTTCGCTCTTTGTCATGTTAACCTTTTCATTAAAATTTGAGCTTTTAAGGCCGTCTGTTTTGTGTAAACACCCGTGTTCTATTAAAACTGCAAGTAATGGAAGACGATGCATCATATTTATGAGCTAAACATTTAATGAACTCATAAGAAATCCTTTAAACCCCGGCCTTTTCGCAGAAAATGGTGTGATTCATTTATCATTTCGACACATTTTCAATACTTGACTAAAATGCATAAAATTAGCTTTCTTCTTCTTCGCAGTTCCTCTTTCTGCTCCTTCGAACCTGCGAGTGTCCGAGGAATGGTACAACCGCTTCAGGATCACCTGGGACGTTCCACCTTCGCCCACCATGGGCTACAGAGTCGTCTATCAGCCTCTTTCTGGTGATTTTAGCCCATCCATAATCAAAACATTTACTGTTTGATTTGTTTTCCTGTTCAGTTTTATACAAAAATGATTGAAATATTTCTAGACTCTCATTATTGTAAGTGCAAGAGGCCCCCTATAGGAACTTCATGATGACGTTTGTACATCAACTTATGAATGAATGATCCCGGGACATTGTAGTGAATGAAACACCTATAATGTACTTTTATTCTTAGATCAACAAGAAATGATCATTTTCTTATATTTCTGTCAGTTTTCTTCAGCAGGTGTAAAAAGATAAACAAGTGAGCCAAGTAGCCTGAAGCTTCTGGCCTCGAGCGTCTCTGCCTGCAGCTAAAAGCTCCCGGCTACGGCAGACACATCTATGTTACAAGAAATCTAAATCATTAGCGACTTATTTAAACCGCGCTCTGTTTTTTAATGGAGGACGCACAAAAAAGGTCAATTCTGAGTAAAAGCATGAGCATTGTGTTCAAATGTGAAACCAATACTTAAAAATAAAAAAATCACGTATAGAAATATCAGGACCAGTCCACAGAAAATCTGAGTAATCAAACACGAGCTTCCTGTAAAGTGGTCATCCAGCCACATCAAAAGGCTAATTCATTCTTCCCGTTTAGCTAGATCTGACACTAATGATCACCTTTGAACCCTCACCTCTACCCCGCTTCCATTTAACTGACCATTTGTTTCAGTGGTGACATCCCGTCGTTAAATATTCTGCCCCTTTGCAGCCCCTGGAGCAGCTCTGGAGACCTTTGTGGGGGAGGACGTGAACACGATGTTAATCCTTAACCTGCTGAGTGGGACGGAGTACAATGTCAAGGTCATCGCCTCCTACACCACTGGATCCAGCGAGGCTCTTTCTGGGAAGGCGAAGACCCGTAAGTCAGTCACCCATTTTCTTTTTTCACTTGATGCCACAGCCTACGGTGATTTGGTATACTGACCATTAAGGATTTTTCTTACATTTACATGTAGAAATTCTGTACGTATTTCAAATTTCTATTAAGATGTTTGAGTTTTAGACTTTTCTGACTCCTGCAGAAACCTTGTAGCAGCTTTGCCTATTCATACCTCATCCCTGAAATGAGCTAAAGGTGCAATAAATCAACGTTTTCTCCGTGATGTAGAGCCTTCCCAAAGCTCTTTGACTGTCTGATCTGGATCATATAATCAGCCCGAGCCGAAGCCTGGTATTCCCTCTCTTGCACGACAATTAACCTCTTCACAGCTCTTCACAACACTGGCCAAATGGCCTTTTTAAACCTGAGATGTCACCAGTTTGATCTCCATAACCTTCAAAACACACATGCCCTTTTAAAGACGTCCTTAAGCCAGACAAGGAAATCCAAAACCCTCATCTATTTTCATTCCTCCACAAAACTCTTAAAACTCAAGTGTTAAATGTACAAACCTTTTAAATTATGCACATGCCTTTGCATAGGTGCCAGTTTTCACCACCTGCATAGCAATTAGCCCCATCTTTGCTCAATTAAAGGACAAGTTCGGAAAGTCGAGATTAGAGAACAGAGGGGAACAAACGGCGGTGAGATGGGTTTATTGGGAAAGAGCGAGAGAGATGATTAGGCCAGAGGGATCCCAGGAGGTGAACAGTGTCTGTCACATCGCTCGGTAGCATGTTAATGAAGCCAGTAGACTATAAAAAATGAGCGAGCTGATGCGTCAATGTCACACGCCAGCACAACTGCTTGTTAATGTGAACAAAGTATGAAAACTAAATAAACTGCAATCTGACAGTTTGGGATCTTTATCAGTTTAGAAAACCTTGGAAGCCAGGATCCTAAAATTAAAATCTCAAACATGAATCAAATAATTCCTAGAACCAAGGTTCGAATTGCACACTGGCTTCCAGGAGAGCCCAGTGAGAATGCCGCAAGAGCAGGGGTGGAGGGTGGGTGGTTGATGGCGGCACAGGAGTTAAGTGCCCGCTCAGTCTGTTGCTGTCGTTGTGTCCTTGGGCAAGACACTTAACCCACCTTGCCTGCTGGTGGTGGTCGGAGGGACCGGTGGCGCCTGTGCTCGGCAGCCTCGCCTCTGTCAGTGCGCCCCAGGGCAGCTGTGGCTACATCGTAGCTCATCACCATCAGTGTGTGAATGTGTGAATGACTGATTGTGTTGTGAAGCGCCTTGGGGAGTTCCAGGACTCTAGAAGGCACGATATCAAATGCAGGCCATTTACCATTACCTCTGTTAAAACTTTGTGAGAGTGGGGCAGTGTGTCATCATTTTTTGAGCTCCCCCTGGTTGTGTTTGTTGAGTCAGTGACTTGATGCAACCTGCTGGGTTCCTTATATATGAAACTTTTTTCTGATTGGCTTAATGAACTGACCTGTATTGGAATGTTTACTATGTGACGTGTCTTGAGACGAGTCTTGTCGTGATTTGGCGCGACATAAATAAACGTGAATTGAATTGAATTGAGGGCTTCCACGGGAGCCCATCACCCTTTCGGGGGAGCCAGGCTCTCCTGTAAATCAAGCCCTGCCAAGAACCATACTTAATGATGTATGTTAGGCCCTCTTCCACTATCGGAACTTCCAGGTAATTTTACGGGATCTTCTGGACATGCACGTGTCTTCATTTACCAGGCCAGCATGGACGCATCACTTTCTGGGCCATTTCAGGAACCTGTTGAGTACCTGAACTGTAATATTTATGCAGAAATGACCCTGGTAGAGCTGCTGGGCAGGGCTTGTTGTTATAAAACTCATGCTGATTGGTTGTAACTCAGTGGGAAAGGATAACTGCAAACATTGCCAAATATCTGCCATTTGTAAAAAGTTTCAGCCAAAGTAGAAAGGAAGGGAAAGAAAATAAGCTGCTTTAAAATTGCATTTTACTAAATTCCTAAAGGGCTACAAAATGTGGTGGAAATCCCCCCCCCCCCCCCCCCCCCAAAAAAAAAACAACTAGGCTGTCATTTACACTGCTTTGTGGTTTTTACAGAGCTCTGTAAAAGCCAACATTTCTGCTGGTCATTGAACGCTGCTTTTTACATCACACAGCCACTCCACAGTCCCCAAATGGATTAAACTATGGCGTACTTTAATCGAATACAACTTTTTCAAAAGGCATGCCGATTCACCCTTTCACCGATGCGTCACATTGTGATGTGAAGATTCAAATTCATTTGTAAACGTTCGTAAACCAATTATAAATAAATGCTGAGAAAGAGCCACAGGAACATAAAAGCTTGCCACCCGGACACTTTAGGGGACGGACTGGCAGAAAAAATAAATAAAAATTAGCAACGGTGGAGGTTTGTTTCTCCGCTTCAGCCACTGAACGTGGGATTTACTCGTCAGGATTAAAGGAAAGTTGTTCAAAACTAAAATAAAATACAGTAGCAACACTATCAACAGGCAACTGCCCCGTACACATTTCCATCATGGGTTAGAGTTCCTAACCAGCCGACAATCGAGGACAGATTAATAAAAGGTGCCTGAAACATTTATTTATTTATTTATTTATTTTTTAAATAAAATGACTTGGCTACAAAGCGGAGGCGGCATCAGGGGACCTTTGGTCATTTATAAGTGGTCAGACTGTGGCGGTAACGTGGCACACTCGTGTTTTTCACTAAAGATTACGTAATGGTGTAAAGGGGGTGTGGGCCATCTCTGCACAGACTTCCCTTTAGCTTGGACGTAGCTTGTTTTTATGCCCATTGAAGTAACGCTCTTTAAGTTCATCCACAAGCCGCAGGTACTGGTCTTTCCAGTCCCATGTGAACTATCAGGGGATCTAAGCTTCAGCTAGAAGCTACCACATCTCTGCATTGGTCCGATTTGCAGTCTCGGCTGATTCTGTGTTTTCAAAAGCGAAACGGACTGCCCTTGTTTACTTTCATTTTCGTCATTCATGTTTTCCCCTGGATGTCACGCAAAAGTATGTCGAGGATGTGTCTTACATAAATAAGATAATGGAGTAAAAGGTATTTGGTAACTTGAATTAATGTGAAAGTAGGAAAAATCTTTCACGTGACAAAAAACATTTAATTAAAAATAACATTTAATAATCGATTTCTAGGACCCTGAAGCAATCAAACTGTGAGGTATCTAAGATGGCACACCTCTAGTTATTAACGTCCATGGCCATTCAAATGCCCACCCGCACGTTGAGGTCGGCTGACCTTTTGCTGCTGCACACGCCGCGGATGAGACTCAAATCGCGGGGGGATCGAGCATTTGTGCGTGCTGCCCCAAAGCTATGGAACTCATTACCCATTGGAGTTCGGCAGGCTCCATCTCTGGCGGTTTTTAAATCTCGTTTAAAGACCCACTTTTACACTTTGGCTTTTAGACAGTGACTCGTTTTAGTGTTTTATTGTATCATTGTTTTAATGTGTTCTTAGTATTCATCATGGTTTATCTGCCTTTGATTGAGATTTTTATCCTTTGTTTTACCCCGGGTTTCCACCGGAGCCGTCAGCAGCACGTTACTGCAGCAGCACGTCTTGCTCGCGTAAGCTGCTGCTTGGCCCTTCCCACGAGACGCGAAGCAGCAGGGGAGCAGCTGTCGCCGACCGAGCACGAAGTCACACGAGTGACTTCGTCAGTAAACACAACAAGAACAAGCAGGAGAAAATTACAACATGGTTTGTGTTTTATGTTCTGTCCGATTTATAATCACCAATACGGACCTGAAAAACAAAGGAGACCGCTAGCTAGGTGATAGCTTCTCACGGGGACGCACAGTTAGTAAATATTTTTTTTAAGTAAAGCAACCGGAAGGCAGTACGTTTCTTTATTCTGAAAACCTCAGGATCTTCTCTCCATTTCCGCGTCCGATTTCCTGTCTTTCCTTCCCCAAAAATGTCGAACTTGACCCGTTTCAGAGGCGTTGCGCGTAGAAAATAGAACCGGCGCGTAAAGGCCGCGACATGCTGCTCCTGAGACGCGGCCGACTCGCGCTGCTGACGGCTCCAGTGGAAAAGGTTCTGTTGACCACAGCGGTTCCTATCAGCAGCTATGACGTGCTGCTGCAGTAACGTGCTGCTGACGGCTCCCGTGGAAAGCCGGGGTTAGCTCCTTGTAATGGTTGTGTTTTGTTTTAGCCTGTGCAGCACTTTGGGCAGCTCCCATGCTGCATTTTAAACGTGCTATATAAATAAACAATGCTATGGACTCTTTTTTTTTGTTGTTTTTTTTTTTTCATTGATCAATGACATCACTCAGCCATCACATATGCTTTTGTATGGAGATAAAACCGGTTAAAGGACCAAACCATCGCATTTCCCTTATCACCTTCCCCTTCCAAATATTTCCCGAAACTTCTATAGTGGAAACAGCTGTTGATGCTAAAAGAAGCTTTTTTTTTTCCTTTTTGTCTCCGTTGCAACGGGTGAGCTTTTAAATGAGATACTTTGCAGAGATGCGTTGTGTTTTTTGTACAGATCCTTTAGGTACTTGATTTGAAATTGTCTTGCTTTGCTGGATAATGTGTGAAATATACTAATATGTGCAAAGCCATTACCAGCTCATTGAAACACAAAATGCTGATTTTTATTAAAAAAAATTCAGTTCAGAGCAACTGGCACATTCAAAAGTCAAATGCTAAAAGCACATAAGTTTCATTTGCATAAACCGGCTGAATTAATTTAGGAATGTGTGCACAAAGTATTTCAGCAAGCTGAGCTGTATTCCTCCACATGTCTGCAAATAACTTCATGGAAATGCACTTTAGTGTCCTTGAAGCTAACCAGCTGCACGCTTTCTGTCCATCATCTGGAAACAGGATTGCTTGTGGTCTCTGATGTGAGCTGCAGCTTTTTTTGGCAGCATCATTATAGCAGTGTGGAGGAAAGAACAGTCACAGCTCTGTAACGAATATTTTTAGAGCTCCACAAAAGTTTAGCTTCATGTCCCATTGCTGCTTTTGTTATTGCCTTCCAATTCCATTCAAAGATTTCTGCAAAGTCAGAGGAGTTAAGCAACATCTGTTCCAAAAACGTTGTGTTAAAGTACAATTTACGGAGGAGTTGGGGTAAAAGAAACACGGTGAGGAACTTGCAGCTTTCATGAAATTAAAATGATTTTCTTGTAAATATTTAAATTTCTTCCTGCAGTGTACCTTGGGGTGACTAACCTGAGTACATATCAAGTGAAGATGACCAGTTTGTGCTCCCAGTGGCAGCCTCACCCACACGCCAGTGCATACAGAGTGGCCATTCAGTCTGTAGTTGGTGAGTAACGTTACTGAAAACTTTTTTATTATCTGCTTTAAGGTTGTTGTTTTACTTTTTCTGGGGGGCAATTTGTTATGAAGGCTAGTGGTACCATGAGTGTTTTAAGCTCCAGCACATCTGGAATTCTAGTTCATTGAGTGCGTTTACATGCAGCCAGTAACCCTTTTAAAACCCGAATATTCACAATAACCCGGTTCCACAGGTCCAGGTAAACACCGCCAAAAACCCGGAAATGTTCATAACCGGGTTTTTAAAAACCCGTTTACTACACCTGGGGTGACCCTTTTCTAACCCGAATGTTTGGTCGTGTAAACGCATATCGGGATATCCCCATCAAAGTGTGTGTTCTGCGCATGCTCTGTTCACAAGGAATCTTGGTCTTTTGAGTAGCGAGACGTCTTGTATGCGCCAGAACACCGGAAGTAAACAACAAGTTGGGAGCAACATGCCGAGTCGCGGCACAGCACCACACTTTTGGAGTGACGAGGAAACTAAAGCGCAAACAAACGCGGTCGCTATCTCTTCCGAACTGGGTAACATGTTGTTGTTTTCACGAATACCGGAACAAGAAGAACCGGAAATGACGTATATTGCGTCTGGACGTAGTCCATACGTCCTGACGCTACCCCAACGTCCGCATTTAAATCGGGTTATGCAAGTTAGAGGGAAGTCTTTCTATTTATGCTTGTAAACGGGTTATTCTGATCAACTCAGAAACCCGAATACCGACCTTAACTCGATCATAACCCGGATACTGGCTGCATGTAAACGTAGTCTGTGTAATTCAAAAGAGTTCAAATGAAGACAACTAAAGCAACAGGAAGTGTAGATGTCCATCAGGGAGGAAGAGGGCAGACTTCGGGGCTGCTCTTATCAGTCTCTCTGCCATGGTGCAGTTACCCTACCATACTATGGTATAGGTGGTCAGCAGGCTCTCGATGGACAAGCATAAAAGATCAGTAGCAGTTCGGGTTCCAGATTCTTCTGGACCATCAGGAAGTGAAGCCGCTGCTGGGCCATCTTAATACCAATTAGAAATGGAATTCCCGAGCATAAAATTTGTGGGCTCTGTGCACAACCCATCGAGCTTTGTATCACTGCAGCTGTTGAGTGCAAAACTAGAAAAACACGTCTCTACAGAAATTCCTACAAAAGCAACAGTTTTGTCTCCTCGCTGCTATAAGGTGTGGATTTATGTTGAGTAGAAACATTGCCAAACTCCTAATGGAGAGAGCAACTCATAAGACTTCCATGATGGAAGATGATTTTTCCAAACTAAACATTTTATTTTTGATCCAGAGAAATATTCTACATACAAAATTTCAACTTCAAATGAACTTCAGTCTTTCTCCATGATCAGCTCTGATCATAAACAAAACCCAATCTTCAGTTATGACTTTCAGAAACGTAATTCGTAGAAGTTGACAGAATAGTAGTTTTCATTTCATATAATTCCTTTTCAAAATAAAGGTACACTTACAAATTAGTATGATGAACGTAAATGCATAAATAACCAACACACTACCTCTTCTAAAGCCTTATTGCTGTATATCGCTCTGGATTATCCGGTAGATTAGCTTTTCATGTCTATTAAGCGTGACTGAGCTTTGCTACAGCTAAATATTACTGAATGTACAGCTATGATTCTCCTCACATTGTACTTATTGAGCTCCCACGCTACATTTCTGAGCCAGCGGGGACACAGCTCATTCATACTTGCATGCTTTCAGGAGGAGGAGGTTGAATCCCTAATTAGCCAGAGATAACAAAAGGTTTTGTTGTATCCCACTCGAGACGTGCCAGCAGTCTTAAAGGTTTAGCTGTGCAATAAAACACTGAGCCTTTCTGTAGAAATGAAGGGCTTATGGATTACAGCTCTGCTGACATTTACATTTGCTGTGTGAAATAAAATGGAAGGAAAACGACCCAAAAAGGGTCAGGATTGGCTGCCAAGTGATGAGATGTTCTAGTTATGTGATTGACGGTAATTATGCCTGCTTCAGACTGCTGTGGGAGGTATACTTTGAGGACAAAAGGGAAATTGAATTAAATTGTTTTTGTGATTTTTTTTTCTAAAGCTTTGGTTGCACCTGCAGCCGCTTGTTGTTTGCCTGGAAAACAGAAAATAGCCTTTATTTAAGTTCTCTGTGGGCGTTTGGTAAAGAACCGAAACTGCATGAGCGATGCCCTGCAGACCTGAATGACAACCAAGACAAAGATTCTGAATTGTACTGTTAAAGTTGTTTACTTCAGTGACCACAAAAGTATTTTTTTTCTTTTTTGTACAGTTAAAAATGTCTGGCAAAAGAATATGCAATAGGCAAATTGTTGTTTATAACTATATAACTTCAGTCAGAGAAGAATAGATGTAATCCCACTTATTAAAGGTACTAAATGGAAGAATTGTTCAGTAAATTAATCACAAAATCATAGATTTCATTATCAGCCTGCTGAGGGGTTGTCAGGACGTGTTCTGTTACAATCTGTTGGCCCACAGGGTCGCCGAGTCTGTGGAAAGCCAACTCTGCAGAGCCAGCATTTATAATTTGACACCAACCGGCAAAACATAGCAGTGTTTTGTTAAGAACCTAAACCAGTAACAGGAGCGACCCAGAAGTTATTTCTTTTACCTCTAAGAAGCCACGGCACCTTTTTGGTTTACTTTAACATCTGGTATAGAAGGATAGACGCTAACGTTGAGCTAACAAAACAGTGATTTAGAAACAAATAGGCATCTCTAAAAAATCTCAAGCTTCTTTTTCAATTACGAACACTCAATATTACAAAATTGATGTCTGAGTGCCGAAGGCAAGCCTTAGAGTTTCACTCGCACAGGAGGAGCAGTATAGATTCAGCTTTAACGCCCCCCTGATATCGAAACTTTATTAGAAAAGCTTCTAGTTGTTTTAAAACCCAGCGGACACTGAGATGGAGATGAAAGAGAAAGGGGGAGAGGAAAGAAAGAGGTGAGGGGAAAAAAGTTCACAAAAATGAACAATAAAGTAATGTACAGTAATCAGCTTCTAGACCCGGGGGGGGGGGGGGGGGGGGGGGGGGGGGATTACACTGCACTAACAACATGAGGACATTTACAGTAGCATATTTTGCTGAAAAGCACACGGTAATAATTCATAGTGCATTTAGTGCCAACCACAGCCCTAGCTTATGTCAAATTTCTTCATTTTATGGGTGGTGACTCCAACAAGCGTAAATGGGGGAATGAAGGAAGAAATTATTTATTTGTATTTAAAATACATGAAAATACTTTTAATTACCTACTAGAAAAAGTTTTATTCAACCTTTTGCAGCCACTTTTTGCTTCTTTTAACCCTCCCACTGTCTTTATGGGTGACCCGGCAAGTAAAGTTGACCATTGAGCAGGATTGATGGTTTAACCCTTGAGGTCCACGTGGCAGGGGTGAGGTGGTGCTCACCCCTCACCCCTGCCACATGGAGCCAAGGGATAAACCATCAATCCTGCTCTATGGTCAACTTTCCTCGCGGGGTCACACCCATTAGGACAGTGGGAGGGTTAAAAAAAATGTGCTTGTTTAATTCAATGTTGGGGTGAACTTTATGCTAATTGTCTTGTCTAAATGTTCCCAAGTATCCAGAATGCCGTGAATGTGTTCTTATATCAATCCAAGTTTTAGAGAGCTAACAGCTTCTTTTTTGCACAGCTTGGTCTCTATGTGCTTATTTTTCCTTGACAAACTTGACTGTGAGGTGATTCCCTTTATACAGGTGCTGGCCAGTAAATTAGAATATCATCAAAAGGTTGAAAATATTTCAGTAATTCCATTCAAAACGTGAAACTTGTACATTATATTCATGCAATGCACACAGACCAATGTATTTCCGATGATTATTACGTTTAATTTTGATATTTATAGGTGACAACCAATGAAAACATCAAATCTGGTTTCTCAGAAAATTAGAATATTCTAAAGGCCAATGAAAAAATGTTTGTTTCTCTAATGTTGGCCAACTGAAAAGAATGAACATGAAAAGAATGTGCATGTATAGCACTCAATACTTAGTCGGGGCTCCTTTTGCCTCAATAACTGCAGTAATGCGGCGTGGCATGGACTCGATCAGTCTGTGGCACTGCTCAGGTGTTATGAGAGCCCAGGTTGCTCTGATAGTCGTCTTCAGCTCCTCTGCATTGTTGGGTCTAGCGTATTGCATCCTCCGCTTCACAATACCCCATAGATTTTCTATGGGGTTAAGGTCAGGCGAGTTTGCTGGCCAATCAAGGACAGGGATACCATGGTCCTTGAACCAGGTGCTGGTGGTTTTGGCACTGTGTGCAGGTGCCAAGTCCTGTTGAAAGGTGAAGTCTGCATCCCCATAAAGTTGGTCAGCAGCAGGAAGCATGAAGTGCTCTAAAACTTCCTGGTAGACGGCTGCATTGACCCTGGACCTCAGGAAACAGAGTGGGCCAACACCGGCAGATGACATGGCACCCCACACCATCACTGACGGTGGAAACTTTACACTGGACCTCATGCAACGTGGATTCTGTGCTTCTCCGCTCTTCCTCCAGACTCTGGGTCCTTGATTTCCAAAGGAAATGCAGAACTTGCTTTCATCAGAAAACATAACTTTGGACCACTCAGCATCAGTCCAGTCCTTTTTGTCCTTGGCCCAGGCGAGACGCTTCTTGCGCTGTTTCATGTTCAAGAGTGGCTTGACACACGGAATGCGACACCTGAATCCCATGTCTTTCATGAGTCTCCTCGTGGTGGTTCTTGAAGCGCTGACTCCAGCTGCAGTCCACTCTTTGTGGATCTCCCCCACATTTTTGAATGGGTTTGTCGTCACAATTCTCTGCAGGGTGCGGTTATCCCTAGAGCTTGTACACTTTTTTCTACCACATTTTTTCCGTCCCTTCGCCTGTCTGTTAATGTGCTTGGACACAGAGCTCTGCGAACAGCCAGCTTCTTTAGCAATCACCTTTTGTGTCTTGCCCTCCTTGTGCAAGGTGTCAATGATTGTCTTTTGGACAGCTGTTAAGTCAGAAGTCTTCCCCATGATTGTGGTGCCTTCAAAACAAGACTGAGGGACCTTTTAAAGGCCTTTGCAGGTGTTTTGAGTAAATCAGCTGATTAGAGTGGCAGCAGGTGTCTTCTATATTCAGCCTTTTCAGAATATTCTAATTTTTTGAGATACCAAATTTGGAGTTTTCATTAGTTGTCACTTATGAATATCAAATTTAAATGTAATGAACATTGGAAATACATTGGTCTGTGTGCATTGCATGAATATAATGTACAAGTTTCACGTTTTGAATGGAATTACTGAAATATTTTCAACCTTTTGATGATATTCTAATTTACTGGCCAGCACCTGTAAATGATGCCATTAGCTTAAAAATTCATCCTGAGTTGTCATCACAGCCCTTATTTTTTATTTTTTATTGTGGATTAATATGATCATGTTTTATTTTAGCTGACAAAAACAACAAATTCCCTTGTGTAAGCAAAATTCCTAATATTAAAGCCGCTTTCCTTGATTGTGCAGCTTTAAAAGTAACTTTGTTTTATTATCTTCTGTTTCTGAGGGGATAAAACACTCCAACACACCGACATAACAACAAACAACTGATTCAATTTCCCACAAACACTCTTCAGTCAGCACCTCAAAGATGAGATTGACTTTTAATACAGCCATCATCCACCAAATAGGAAAGTAATGGCTGTTATTCATCACCTTTAGGCCCCCAGCAATAACACTGCCATCATTAATGTCACATATTCCCTCGTGTTTCCTAGGGGAGCTCCCGTGTTTTGGTTCTCTCCACACACAATAGAGGTAAATGAGGATTTATGTTGGCACAGCTGGTGTGTAATTACTCTGGAGATGAGTCTTTGGTTTGGAATGGGACATAGTGGATTTGAAGGGGAAATGGAATAAAAAATCAGTATAGGTTAACGGTTTAGTTGTAGAGCTTTTGAACTAAACGGAAATGTAGTTATCAAGATATTTTGATGTTTAAATGGTTATGACATAAATGTCTTGCCTATATTAGGAAGCTCTTTGACCAACCTTTTACCACTTTGCTATTAATGTCATGTCTCCCTTCAGGAAAACCTGAACTTAACTTTTACAATATTTTTAGCAAATATGTTGGCACAAATTGCTGCCTAATGGTATGTCAGGCTTGATTAGGTAATCATTGGTTAGGTTTTTTCCCTTTTGGAATATTTATTTGTATCATTAAAAAAGTATTTTACTCTCTCCAGCCAGCACTTCTACTATTTTCTGTTTGAACAGTAGTTGCCACTAATAAAAAAAATAAATTAAAATAAAAAATACAATACCACAAAAATACTAATGAAGAAGACAAGTTTAACATTGGACAGAATGGATTTTTTTTAATTAACTTTTTTTTTTTTTACTGCAGCAGCTGAAAGACACAAAACTACTCAAATAAAATCTCACGTACTGGATTAAATGTTATTGGTACAAAATTATGTCAAGCTGATGCTTCTCATTTTAATCCGAAAATGCATGGCATCTCTATCCATCCGGGTGCATCATGCACGTCTGTAAAGTGGTTTACTCTCATTTACATCTTTGTGTAAGTTATAATTGGGGCAGCAGTAGCTCAGGTGGTACAGCGGGTTGCCTCATGATCGGAGGGTCATGGGTTTGATTCCAGCTCCCGCCAGGGGTATCCTGCTGTTGTGTCCTTGGGCAAAACACTTCACCCAACTTGCCTGTGTTGGTGGTGGTCAGATGGGTCGACGGCGCCTAATGGCAGCCTCGCCTCTGTCAGACCTCCCCAGGGCGGCTGTGGCTACAAGTAGCTTACCATCACTAGCAATGTGTGAATGTCAGAGTGTGTGAAAGCGTCTTTGGGTGTCTAGAAATGCGCTATATAAGTTCAATGCATTATTATTATTATTATTATTATTATTATTATTATTATTATTATAATGTTTGTATTTCTGTCTTGTTATTTATTGCAGGTAGTCAGAAGCAGGAGACCATGCTGGGTGGTGGAGCTAGCAGACACTGCTTTAACAACCTGAAGCCCAACACGGAGTACAAGATCAGCGTCTACGCTCGGTTAGGAGACGGGACTGAAGGACCTGCAGTAACGGCCAACACAAAAACATGTAAAGATGCTCAAACATTTACAAGCTCATCTCTGTATATATGCATCCTTTTAGTCTTTGCAATTAAGTCACCTGATAATGTTGGCCTGCAGTGAGTTAGGGGAGTAACTGTGTCCAGTTCATATGTTGGAAGAAGTAGCACACCACAGAAGGCCTCCCAGACAGCATTATATACGAAAGTTAGAGTTAACTAGCCGTTGACCAAGAACCAAACCTTACAATCTTCTTGCTGCTGTTGACCGGTTTGAACAAGTCACCGACTTTGCCAGAATTCACCCCACTGGATTTATAATGTACGATATACGGCATTGACTTTACACTGGAGCTGATTTGAAACAACGTGAAAAAGTCCAGACCCCTAACGGTTTTTGTGGTTGGCTGGCTCACCAGGTTCAGCTGCCAGTCTCACACTGAGAGATGGGTATCTTATACCTCATCATGCTAAATAAATAACGTCATTTTCACAAACGTAATCCTACATTGAAACAATATTTTTAATATGTGTCAATTCCCTATTGTGGACGGTAATGCACATCCTCCATAGTGGGACTGTAGGATTATCCATCCATCCATCAGTTTTCAGCCGCTTATCTGGAGTCAGAACGCGGGGGCAGCAGCCTAAAGCTTGGTTTATGCTTGACGCATTCACTTTCCGCTTGGTGATGCGGCTCGCAGATGGAACGCGCTTCACAACTCGCAGCGTTTATGGTTCATGCGGCTTGTCTCTGTGGTGAGACAATATTCTCCCAAACTGTAGGGGGCAGCATGGAGCTCTACGGCATGCATCCAACACTACACCATAGTAGAAGTAGAAATTACTGTTTACAACATGGCATTCCAGCATTTTTAACAGCGTTCTCGTCTTTTCCGACAGTGCGAGCTATTTCTCTCCAAGAATTATTAACAACATGTTGATCCGAATCTCTGAGAGCTGAATCATACAAATGTCTGTATTTACGAACCTCTGCCATACTAGTTCTTGCCGGTCCGCCATGTTTTTCCGCGTCCGACCGTCTGCGTGGTTAGAAAATTTCCTAGGTGCACGTTGCGGAAATTTTGGGCCGTGCGGAGGCGCGGTGGAGGGGCGTGGTTGTTAAGATGACGCAAAATGACACAACTTTTCCGCGCGGAGCCGTGCGGACCTCGCGGACGCGTCAAGCATAAACCAACCTTTAGCCGAGATGCCCAGACTTCCCTCTCCCCAGCTACTTGAGCCAGCTCTTCCGGAGAAATCCCAAGGCGTTCCCTGGCCAGCCGAGAGACATAGTCTCCCCCAGCGCGTCCTGGGTCTTCCCTTGGGTCTCCTCCCAGTTGGATGTGCCCGGAAAACATCATACATAGATTATCAATACCAAATAAACCCTATAAACACATTCACATTCGTCTTTTCCTCGCCTCTGTCAGTGCGCTCCAGGGCAGCTGTGGCTACATCGTAGCTCATCACCATCAGTGTGTGAATGTGTGTATGAATGGATGAATGATACACTGTAGTGTAAAGCGCTTTGGAGTCCTTTCTCTGAGAGGGGCTATACAAGTGCGGATCATTTATCATTTTCGTACCATCACAGTCAGCCTCCTTGCTAACTGCTGCAAATCCAAAAAATCTCTGAGGACTGCTGATGTCCTTCCCTGTCTTCTGTCTCCATCAATGTGATTTGATAAACACAAGTTAGATTTACACCTTTGTCTGTTAGTGCCGTCAACCACACAGCAAATAATTACTGTTTGCTGTGTAATCAGCAAATAAAAGCGAAGTAAGGCTACAAACTGGCTTTTATTTTTTTGGACTAGCTTAACAGAGTTTAGCTGGACGTAAAAAGTTCTTTGACGGTCAACATATATTTATCACATATCAAGTCTTTTTTTAAAAGAGGAAGACAACTTCTTAGGAAAGTATTCAGATTGAAACCTTTAATATTTCACTTGATTCTTAACTGTGAGTTTAGGATATGTAACCTAATAGAGCAGGATTTATTTTATACCACGTTTAGCATGTAGATGTACTCCATGTGCACATCCACCGGTGCATGTGTTGGTTAATTCTCTTATTTATATATAACTCCAATTTAAATGTGCACAAGAAA